GAAGGAAGGAAGGAAGGAAGGAAGGAAGGAAGGAAGGAAGGAAGGAAGGAAGGAAGGAAGGAAGGAAAGAAAGAAAGAAAGAAAGAAAGAAAGAAAGAAAAGAAAAAAGAGAAAAAGAAACAAAGAGAAAGAAAAAGAAAGAAAAAGAAAAAACAAAAAGTAAGAGAGAGAAAGAAAAACAGAGTGAAAGAAAAAAGAAAGAGAATAAAAAAAGAAAAAGAGAAAAAGAAAAACAAAGAAAGAAAGAGAAAAATTAAAGAAACAAAGAAAGTAAGAAAGGGAAAGAAAGAAAAGAGAGAAAGGGAAAGAAAGAGAAACAAAGAGAAAGAAAAAGAAAAGAAAAAGAGAGAAAGAAAAAAGAAAGGAAGTAAGAGAGAAAGATAAAAAACAGTGAAAGAAAAAAAGAGAAAGAATGAAAAAGAAAAACGAAGGAAAGAAAAAGAAAGAAAAGAGTGCAGTGATTTGCTTAAGAACCATGGGAAAAAAGGTGTAAAATTGGGCATAGCTCCCTGAACAACCGCCTTGCTTAGCAACTGGAATCCTTTTCCCAGTCGTAGTCGTAATGCCGGCCAACTTGTAACGATCCTGCCTTTTTCCCCTTCTCCTGCTCAGACGTGGACGAATGCAGCTATTCAAACTACTTGTGCCAATACCAGTGTGTGAACGAACCCGGCCACTTCTCCTGCATTTGTCCTCAAGGTTACAACCTCGTGAGCACCCGGCTTTGCCAAGGTAACTGTCAGGATTTGGGGTTGGCATCAGGGAAGAGGGCTGGGTGGGAAAAAAAACCACGGGTACCAGGACTCCCTTTAATCAGGTTTGGAGAATGGAATAGACTAGAATAATAAGAGAAGAAAAGGAGAGGAGAGGAGAGGAGAGGAGAGGAGAGGAGAAGAGAAGAGAAGAGAAGAGAAGAGAAGAGAAGAGAAGAGAAGAGAAGAGAAGAGAAGAGAAGAGAAGAGAAAACACAGAACACAGAATATATATAATATAAATATACATAGAATAGAATACAGTTCGGAATGGAATGAAAAAGAATAGTAAAATAAGGACAGAATAGAGTATAAAATACAGAATAGAATAGGAATAGAATAGAAATAGAAATAGAAGAATAGAGAATAGAATATAGAAAAATAGAATAGAATAGGAATAGAAAAGAATAGAATAGAATAGAATAGAATAGAAATAGAATAGAATAGAATAGAATAGAATAGAATAGAATAGAGAATAGAATAAGAATAGAGAATAGAGAATAGAATAGAGTAGAACCGAATAGAATGGAACGGAACCTTAGAGGTCTTCTAGTCCAGCTCTTTGCTCAAGAAGGAGAATCTATGCCATTATATTTTCGGCAAGGAGTGCCTGAAATTTGCCAAAGTTAATTCAAAGGGGATCCTGCGTGGGTCGGGGAGGGGGGAAAGGACCTGGCTGGGGAGGGAGGCTGCTGGCAGTTTGGGGTGCCAAAGCGAGTCAAAGGGAATTTTTGGTGGGAGGGAGATGCCCTCTTTGATCCAACTCAGCCCCCGTTTTGGTTTGCAGAATTTGCCCAGCCCTGGTTGGGGTCTGGGTTGTTATTGGGGCCGTTTGGTTTTTGCAGTTGTTGTTTTTTTAAAAAAAAACAAAACAAAACTCTACACTTCGGATAAAAATGCTTTCTTGTACATATAGAGATCTTTGTGGTCCTTTCTGCACCAGAGTTCAGCTGAATTAGAACCATTTAGAGAGAAGCTCAAGAGAAAATCCAAGGATGGTGACTGGGGAATATTGATTGAGAGAAGGCCAAACAAAAGCAGGGCCAAAATAATTTTGGCAGTATTTGAAGTCTGGATTTTTAACATTCCTTCCTTCTTTTCTATCCTCTTCTTTCCCTGGGCTCTTTTCTGTTCCCTTTCCTTCCTTCCTTCTTTTCTCATTCCTTCCAATTCTTTCCCCCCTTCTTCCTCTCTCCCTCTCTTTCAATTTCCTTCCTTCCCATTTCTTATTCTCCTTCTTTCCTCTCTCCCTCCCTCCCTCCTTACCCTACCCTCCTCTTCCTTCACTCTTCCTCCTTCCCTTTTTCTTATTTTCCTTCCATCCTTCCGTTGCTCCTTCCCTTCCCTTCCATTCCTTCATCATCCCTCCCTCCCTCCTTTTTTCTTCTTTTCCTTCCTTCTTCCCTTCCTTCACTCTCCCTCCCTCCCTCCCTTTTTCTTTTCCTTCCTTCCTTCCATCTCTCCTTCCCTTCCTTCATCATCCAACCCTCCCTCCCTTTTTCTTCTCTTTTCTTTCCTTCCTTCCATCCCTCCTTCCCTTCCCTCCCTCCCTCCCTTTTTCTTCTCTTTTCCTTCCTTCCTTTCTCCACCTATCGGTATGTCTATCTCCGGCACCCACAGACATTAACGAATGCGAGACAGACAGCCATCAGTGCACGGAGTCCCAGAACTGTGTGAACTTTCACGGAGGGTATCGGTGTGTGGAGAAGAAACTCTGCCAAGAGCCTTACATCCATGTCTCTGAAAAGTGAGTGGGGATAGGTCTGAAGGGTTGGGAGGAAAAGAGGAAAGGAATTATAAACAGACCTTGTTGGGCTTGGACTGGGGCACAAAAGCTCCATTATACCGCCCGGAGTCAGTGCGATGCAGCAATTTGGAAACGCCGTTCAGTGGTTAACCAACCTGCAGAATGAGAAAGAAGAACTCCGGTGCCAAATCCCATAAAATGGGTTCACACAGCATTCTAAACCCAGGTTCAGAAAACCAGGTGCTTGCATAATAATCTGCCACGTTTATAAGACGGGTCATGATTGCATGGGCTGGTTTAAGCCACTGTTTTTCATCCTCCGCAATTGTAAGATGGATGGACTTCCACTCCCAGAATTCCCCCACCAGCATACTTTTAAGATAACTGGACTTCCACTCCCAGAATTCCACAGTTAGCATGCTAGATGGGGAATTCTGGGAGTGGAAGTCCAGTTATCTTAAGATATGCTTGTGGGGGAATTCTGGGAGTGGAAGTTTATCCATCTTCAATCATACTGGCTGGGGGATTCTGGGAGTTGAAGTCCATCCATCTTCAGTCATGCTGGCTAGGGAATTCTAGGAATTGGAAGTCCATCTGTCTTAAAGAATGCTAGCTGGGGAATTCTGGGAATTGAAGTTCATTCAGATAGCAGCCATGGTTGAGAATCCCTGGTTTAGCAACCAGCTGAGACAGCACAGCTGGACCCCAACCTCCTTCAACCAGTTTATTCCTCTTGCAGCCGCTGTCTGTGCCCGACCACGAACCCCCTTTGCCATGATAAACCTTCCTCCGTTATCTACCGGTATATGAGCATCTTGGCCGATCGGCCAGTGCCCTCAGACATTTTCCAAATTCAAGCCACCACCTTCTATCCAGGAGCCTACAACACCTTCCAGATCCGTTCAGGCAACGAGGATGGAGAATTTTATATCCGGGTAAGTCTGTATCCTAGCAACAGCCAATCGCAGTCATTTTTCTGTGAGGATGCCGGCAGGTTTAATCTGGTACCCGGCTTTCTAACACTGATGCTTTCAAAGAACAGAGGTCTCCAAATGTGCCAGCTTCAAGACTTGTGGGCTTCAACTCCCAGAATCCCCCCTGGCTGGGGAATTCTGGGAGTTGAAGTCCACAAATCCTAAATTAACCACGTTTGGAGATCCTGACTTTAGGATTCTTAATAGTTATTTATTTATATTTTATTTATCCATCTTCCGTAATCTTGGCTGGAGAATTCTGGGAATTGAAGTCCACAAGACTTAAATTTACCAAGTTTGGAGACCCTGGCTTTAGGATTATTAATGGATTTTATTTATTTAGTGGTCAATTGCTTGGTTTAGCCTTCTTTTACCACCCTTTTTGGTCCCTCTGGATGGAAAAACCAGCTCTTAATCAGATGATGGTCATCACAAAGTTCCTGGGTGTTGGTTTTTTTTTTACATCCTTAGGAAAAAAATGTTTGGATAATTTACAGCCCTAATTGGAACTAGAATATCCCTCGCCAAACAAGGAGTTTGTTCAATGAATAATGCTTGGCTTTATGACTTCTTTTGCCGTGGTTGTAAAGCAGATCACCGCAACCAATTGGACTCCAATTGTAATCTGTAATTGATCAATGTAATCGTCCGGCCAGAGCGTTTGCAGCGTGTCTATTATTATGAGATAACCCACGAGCAAAACTCAGCACACAAGAGATCTAGACATTTAACAGTGGTTTATATACAAGACATATACAGTAATATACGTGGTAGGTGAATACCTGACAAGCAATCAATCTTCTTAACTCTACACTCTATCACCACTGCTGCAAGGTTAGCTTTTGCCCAAAGATGGAAAGGTAATGAAATGCCAAATGAGATGGAAATCATTAGGAAGATTTGGACGTGTCCTGAAATGGATAAATTAACTCCAGAATTAAAAAAATAAGACCGAACCTGATTATAAAATTTGGGAGAAGTTTTACCACCGCTTGAAAAAAAGGAAGGAATAAGTGTATCAAAAATGACTAAGGTTTATGTATATATGTAAATTTGTATTATTTTCTATATTTATTACTTAATGAGGTAAGAGAAGTAGGTGTGTCAGGATGTATGCACCATGTTCATTGTTTTTAAATGTCTTTCTTTTTTGTTTAATAAAAATTTAAATTAAAAAAAAAGAAAACGGACCTCGGGGGGAGGTGAGTGGCCTGCATACGCGCCCTGGGTTCTGTTTTCGGCCACGGCGGCCTCCTGCAACCCTCTTCCAGCAAAAGCGGATCTGGGAGGGTGGGCAGAACACACGGGCCGGTCCTTCGCTAGATCTAAGCACACATATCTCCACCGTGGGCCAGATGTGGCCCGTGAGCCTTGAGTTTGACACCCCTGACTTAGCGGGTTGAACCGACGTCGCGGGCTGGCGGGGGAGGTTTGGTTGATTGGATCGTTGAAAACTAAAAAACATTCTTCTCTCCGGAAATCACGAAGGCGCTTTTTTCACCTCCGTTTTCCTCTCCAGCAAATCAGCAACATCAGTGCCATGTTGGTCCTGTCGCGGGCCGTGGTGGGTCCCCGGGAGTTTGTCCTGGATTTAGAGATGGTCACCGTCAATAACTTGATGAGCTACCAGGCCAGCTCGGTGCTCCGCCTCACCGTCTTCGTGGGGGCTCACCCGTTCTAGTGGGGGGGGCAGATCTCCTCTCCCCCCTTACCTGGCGTGGCAAGGAAAAAGGGGGTAAGTGGGCTTTGGGAATAGGGTGGGTCTCCCGTGGAGGGGAGAAGATACACAGCACTGGGGTTGGAGTCTGTGCTTTGAACAGAATAGAATAACCCAGTTGGAAGGGACCTTGGGGGTCTTCAAGCCTAACCCGCCCCCCTTCAAGCTAAACCATTCCAGACAGGTGGCTGCCCAGCCTTTTACTTTAAAACCTTCCAGTGATGGGAGCACCTGCAACTTCTTATTTTTAAAAAAAATATTTTTACTGAACAATTTTCCTCATTTTATAACACCATTTTCATTTTTTTCAACACTTCAGTGTCGGTATACATACAATTTCCATACATTTTTATTGCATGTGTGTTTGTGTGTATATATGTATATGTATGTATGTGTGTGTGTGTATATATGTGTGTGTGTGTGTGTGTGTGTGTGTGTGTGTGTGTGTATATATATATATATATATATATATATATATATATATATATATATGCATGTATACCCACAAACACACACACTCTCTCCCGTATCTGTTATTCCACTAAAATATGTACAATATGTATTTCTTATGCCAAATGTTTTTCCCTTTTACATGTTATAATGCATATTTTACATTTTATTATCCTACCTGTACTACTTCATATTCTTTATCTTCATATCGACTGTTTAACCAATTGCGCCAGGCATTCCAAATCAAACAGTATTCAGTTTCTCATCTATCTTTTATTTCCATTGTCAATCTGTCCATCTTGACACACTCTTAATACTTTCCTTGATTGCGCTTTCCTCAGACGTTAGAGTGCTGCTCTCCCCCCTCCCCCCCGGAATTTTGCGCATAAACAAATCTGGTCGCTGTTATTAAATGGAGCCCCTGCAACTTCTGAAGGCAAGCTGTTCTACCTGTGTGTGATGACCCAAAGGGGTCTGGCACAAAGGCAACCCAGTCAGATAATCAGTAGGAGTCCCTTTATTAGCTCCAACTTTGCCCCCAATGTCCTGCTTACCTTCTGGGCTGGAGAAAAAAACTCCCAGGAGCAGCCTTTGGCTGCAGAGAATCAAGTCCAAAACATGGTCAACACAAACTGTAACTATAAGTCCAATCAAGGCAAAATGAGATAATTAGTCCAGGTGGGCAGGAGAAGGAATTCAAGACATGAAAGAAAGGCAGTAATTCAACCCGGTTGGGAAGATGCCAGGAACGCAGATAACCAAAGGCAACACAAGATAAACTCTTGTTTGTTCCCAGAAGTTGCCACACTCAGCTTGCATCTCTTTTAAACTCGCTTCCCAGCTGTGGCTAATGAAGGGAATCAGGGCCCTTTCCTCCCCCGTAAGCCATCCATGTTGCTCTCTTCTCCATTCTTCCCTGTGTGGGCCTGGGTCTTCCTCTGAACTCCCTCTCCCTTGTTCTACCTCTGCCCTGCTCTGCCCAGCCGGATCTGCCCTTCCCCAGTTTCCTCCGCAGCCAACGGAGCCACACTCCCACTCCCTGTCAGCTGTTCGTCTTCCTCCTGGGATTCAGACTCCAACAGGGACATGACACTGTGTATTCTGTTCTACGACCGATCTCTTCCCCCCCTCCACCTTTTCTCTCTTGCAGAAACGTCTGTCCAAGATGGAGAAACAATGAAGACAAACCGAGGGACACACAACTCTACAGGTGTGAAAAATGGAGTCCGATGCCCTCCATGGACTTCCCCACCAACCGCCCATCAGAATCACCGATGGCCAAGCCTGGACAGGCCCCGTAGAACCATAGCTTAAAAAGACTTTGGACCCAATCCATCCTTTCTTAGCATCGTCCCTTGACCCGTAACGCTGGCCAATAACGCAACCTTTCTCTCCTAATTCCCCAGGGAAGAGCAACTTGGGAATGGGATCAAAGAACCCATCCCTGCCCTTGGGATGGAGGGAGGACATTGGAACAATTTCAGTAGAATTCCATTTTTATTTCTCTGGTTGGAAGAGAAAACGAGAGAAAGAGAGAGAGAAAGAGAAAAAAAAACCAAACCAAGACCAATGAGGTTTAGTAAAAAGTTTGTTTTCTGGAAAAAGGAAAGACTGCAAAGGAGGGAATTTGTGGTGTCCGTGTTGCTTGACTGGTTTGGGGAAAATGGGAGCAGGGTGAAGTGAACGGAAAAATCAGCTCAGGTTTAGGGTGAGCTGTGGAAAGAGTGGCTTTACTCAAAGAGCAATTGTAGACCGGGTGGCTTTTGCAAAAGTTTTGAGTAAAGTTATCTGTGTTTTAGGGGAGGGGAAGAGTAGAAAAGCATACCAGGAGGGGGACTTAGCCAGGTTGGTCTCGCTCGACTTGGGAGCTCAGTAGGATGCGACGCTGCTAGAGATGATCAGAAGGAGGTTTCATTCAACCGTGGCAACTTTACACATTGTGGACTTCATGGCTGGTTGGGGAGTTCTGGGAGCTGAAGTCCTCAAGGCTTAAAGGTTGCCTTTGGCTAAAGTTTCTCAACCTTGGTAGCTTCAACTCCCAGAATCCCCTAGCCATCCTGCTTTAAGATGGCTGGAT